TTAACAGGTTAAACAATGTAAAAACATGTTGTCATAACTTATTGATCATATCTTTTTTTTTTACAGTGTATTACGGTATTTATTTAAAAGAGAATTACAAAAACACTCAAGCATTGAGAGGAAAATGTGCTTAATTTTCATGAAATCAGTCACAATGATAATAATAATAGTACAAAAACAGAATTCACGTGCAAAATATAATGTTGTCTTTTGATCTAAGGTGAAATATGGAAGTTTTTGTTCGGTTTAACCCCTTTTATTACAAAATGGCACTAGAGAATATTCATCTATGCTTGGTTTTGTTCTTTAAATGTTCCTTTGTCAGACAGAAACGCATTTACATGAAGTGTCTGTACGAAAAGTCAAGAGGAACTAATAGTCTGTGGGTGACGTTGCGAGGAAAGCGAGTTTGATGTGAAGCTGAAACCAAACAACCATCTCGGAAACACCTTCATGTTCGACATCCTTCTCAAAGTCTTGTGCCACTTCCTCCCTGCATAGTGTCCACAACAAGTCCAAATCCTATTGCTATTGCACTCCCCAACATTCATAAAAGATCCTGTTTTTATATTGTTCCCCTCTGACATCCGGAAAGATCTGCACAGAAACAGCAGAGCTCATATTTGCATAAACCCACAAAAGCATCGGCGGATTCCCACAACGTTTAGGCCCACATGACGGGAAAACGTCTCCACAGAGGTTCGGTTCTGTAGCTGCCAGGTCGAACTGGGCAAGGGATGTGGTTGCCATGGAGACGACTGTCCGGAGATCACCTCGGTGGAACGTCCCACGATGCATTGCAGGCGTGCTCACGTTGCAAAAAAACCCGATGTCCTTCCTCAGTATTTTTTTGTCCTGTTTTCTAGTGCAAGTATCTAAACATTCTTAAATGAAGACACGTTCACTTGAGAAGCAAAATGACTGAAGAGGTTAGGTGTTGTTTTCTGAAAAAGGTGTCAAAACGAAGTCAGTTTATGCTTAAAATGTATTTTAAAATGAATTCTTGAATCATTCGCAAATGGTTTTAAGCATAAACCTGACTGATTTAGTTTGATTTACACTTAAAAAAGAAGAAAAGTATTTAGAAATGCAAGAGTAATGGAGAAGTATTGCACATCATCCTCCAAAATATCTACAGTAGCAAAAACACTTCAATTGGACACATTTACAGAAAACAAGACTTCATATTTTTAGTCATTTTGCTTCTCAAGTAAATAAGAATCTTCCTACAAAATGACTAAAGATATGAAGTCTTGTTTTCTTAAAAATATATTAAAGTTAAGCGAGTTTTTGCCCAAAACAAGAAAAAAAACATCCAAGCATTGAGAGTTTGAGAGGAAAATGTGCTTAATTTTCATGAAATCGATGTCAATATGAAAAAAAAAAAAAGAATTTATGTGCAGATTATAATTGTCTTTTGATCTGGGGTGAAATATTACGGAAGCATATTGCATTCACTTGAGGAAAAAAAAACTACTCTGTTTTTCTGAATTAACGAGTTAATTATCTCAGAATTACTAGATCATTTTTCATGGAAAAAAGTTTTTACTCTGTTTTTTTTTGAATGAATGACTAATTATCTCAAAATTATGAGTAACTCATCAATTCATAAAAAAACAGAGTGAAAAAAATGTTTTTCAAGAAAAATGTATCTCATAATTCTGAGATAATTAACTCGTTAATTCAGAAAAACAGAGTAGATTTCTTTTTCCTCAAGTGAATGCAATACGCTTCCGTAAAATATTGCATATTTTGTTAGATTTAAAGGTGAACTATGCAGGTTTTTTACCTCAACCGAACAGCTTTGGAGTCATTGGAATGGTTATATTACTCTTTTCGGGTTGAATGGTGGTCGTTTCGCACCCCCCTAGCGCATGTGAGCGGAAAAAAACACACTTGCAACTTTGAGCGGGCCACAGCATCAGGAAGTGTTGCGTGATATCAGGTCTCACGATGTAACGAATTGCTTTACGGCAAAAAAGATCTGATAAAATAAGCATCAAACAGAAATAACCCGGCGCTGTATACATGTGGTGTTCGAGGCGAACATACAATACAGACTGCCGACAGTTAAACTGGGTGCGCGCAGCTCTTAAAGGGGCCATACCTTATTTCCACTCGTTACAGCGTCCATCCTACTGAACAGGTACCGGTGTACAGGGGGAGGGGATCCGGCCGTGAGTGCTATTCACGACAGTACAAGTACTCCACAGCGACTCTAGGGGTCGCTGTTTGACAAAAACGGAATTCCTGCATAGTGCACCCTTAATGCCTGTTATTACAAAATGGCCATTAATGGGGTCAGAAAAATCGTCGTTTTCCCTCTGAGGTCAGTTTATTTTTCTGACACTGTTGGCAGATTTCGTTTTTTTCTTCTTCTTGTTTTAAGCAAAACCTCACTTCATTTGGATCAATTTCTCAAGTAAATGTAACTTGATATAATAATGTTTAGATATTTGTACTGGAAACAAGACATAAATACTGAGGAACGTCATTTTTTGCAGTGAACGGATTGATCAGGTGAGGGAACAAACACACACAAACACACGTTGAACGAGACCGAACCGCTCACTTACTTTAAAGTGTATTTCTCAGTTTCAGCCTCTGGAAACAACAGAGTCTCATGAGCATCAAGACCAGCTCTAAACCACCACAAACCACACGATTATAACATCTCTACTCAGGCAAGTTTATAATCACAGAGCCCTCAAACAGGCTACATCCTAACATGATGAAAATGAAAATACACTAATTCCACAATTGCACTGCAAAACTAAATCATTCATCATCAGTATTTATGTGTGGCTTTCCTGAAAAAAAAATCTAAATCTCCTTAAAACATGATACGTGTACTTTTCTTGAATTAAGATCTGTCTCACATCATTGAAAAATTAAGAAAGTCTTGATAATATCATTGAGTATTTGAATTTGAGCTTACCTCATTAGAAAAAAATATTTTACTCTTATTTACAAAAAAAAAATCGATTAATCGAGGATAATTGCATCTAATATAAAAATGTGTAAATATATATATATATATATATATATATATATATATATATATATATATTATACTCACACACACATAACAACTTTTATATTAGATGTGATTAATCGATTAGACATCACTACAATAACAATGTACAAAATGTCTTGCATTTGTAAATATCATATTACTTTTTTTCTAAATTTAGTCAGATTTTTGCTTAAAATCTTGTTGCTTATTGTTTTGTTGCACTTTGAGTGTAAAAAAACGCATTATAAATAAAATGTATTATTATTATTTTAAAAAATTGCCAATGATATAAGGAAATTAAAATGAATTTAGGACATTTTGTATACACATTTAAAACTCTTAATAACACAAAGTCATATTATTTTTTATTTTTTAACTCGCCTCATTTGTTCTTTATACTCTAATAATAATAACAATGGATTAAGCATTTATATAACAACATTCAATCAAGTTTGTCTAAAACAATGGGCCAAGGGTATATTCTTTGTAAACTCTTAATTTCATCAAGTTTTGAATCTGAACTTACCAGTAATTGGCTAAATGTTTCTTCTTTTTTAAGCATAAAACAAACTAATATTAGTCAGGTTATGCTTAAAACAATTTGCAAATAAGCAAAAGCTTAACTCAAAATCAAAACGTATCTTGTTTTAATGATGTTTGGATATTTCTACTGGAAAACAGGCACAAAAGATCCTAATAAGAAAAGAAGATGATGTCCTGATCATCAGTAACCACATGTTCAGATGATCAGTAATTATTAATGTTAGTCTGTCTGCACTGAAGATGCTGCGTCCCAAATCACACTCTCTCTCTCTCTCTCTCTCTCTCGAGGAGATACTTCCATAAGCAATTACTTCAGACCCGCCCCCTTTAGTTACTGTTGCTACGTCTCACTAACCCTAACCCTAACTTTTCCTTCTTTCTTTCTTAATTTTCTTTCTTTCTAACTATTCTTTCTTTCTTTCTAACTATTCTTTCTTTTTTCTAACTTTTGTTTTTCTTTCTAACAAATCTTTCTTTATAACTTTTCTTTCTTTCTTTATAACTTCTCTTTCTTTCTTTATAACTTTTCTTTATTTCTTACTAATCTTTCTTTCTTTATAACTTTTCTTTCTTTATTTCTTACTAATCTTTCTTTCTTTATAACTATTCTTTCTTTTTTAACTTTTGTTTCTTTCTAACTAATCTTTTTCTTTATAACTATTATTTCTTTCTTTATAACTTTTCTTTCTTTCTTTCTTTCTTTCTAAATAATCTTTCTTTCTATAACTAATCTTTCTTTCTTTTTTTCTTTCTTTCTTACTAATCTTTCTTTTTTTTCTTTCTTTCTTTCTTACTAATCTTTCTTTCTTTCATTCTAATCTTTCTTTTTTCTTTCTTTCTATTTACTTTCTTTGTTTCTAACTATTCTTTCTTTATTTCCAACTTTTCTTTCTTTCTTTCTAACTAATCTTTTTTTCGTTCTAACTAATTTTTCTTTCTTTATTTTTTTCTAACTAATCCTTCTGTCTTTCTTACTAATCTTCTTTCTTTCTTTCTAACTATTTTTTGTTTCTTTTAACTATTCGTTTGTTCTTTCTTTCTTTCTTTCTAACTATTCTTTCTTTCTTTCTAACTTTTCTTTCTTTCTTTTTCTTTCTAACTTTTCTTTCTTACTTTCTAACTAATCTTTCTTTCTTTCTTTCTTTCTTTCTTTCTTTCTTTCTTTCTTTCTTTCTTTCTTTATCTCTCTGACTGTATTGCCTTCAAACTTTCTGGCTAGGCTCTAAGTTAAAGTTTGCCAACAAACTTTTTTTATCTAGTTTCTCTTGCATTTCTACAAATTTCGCTTCCTTTTAGGGCTAAAAAAAGTGATATGCTGCTAAATAATTTACAGTTATATGAGCAATAAAGACTTGAGATTTGACGCGGGCATTTGAGACACGCTTACAAAAAGACCTTTTTCAACAAAGTGACAAAGAAAAAGAAACTAGAAAAGAAAAACGGGCGTGTAGAAAAGAGTGAATGTTTATTCAGGCGCCCGTACGTTCCTGATGCAATCCATATTTGGTGGACACGCAATGCATTTTGGGATATCAAAGATCTCAGCTGGAAGAGAAGAGCTGCCGAGGAGAAGTTCCTCTTTCTGGGGTTCGAGGTCAGGAAAATGAGCTTGACTGGAAGATCTTCTCTGTCCACAGTGAAATGAGTCGCAGTGAATCAAGCGTTAGCCCTGATGAAGACTAACATTCGTCCCATCTGAGGTGATGATGGTGAACGGAGAAACTCAGGGTGATCGTGACATCAGGATGGTGCATTCTGGGATATGGAGCGGTTGGTGAGGCTCTAGTCTTCCCGACACATGGGTATATTGACGAAGGTGAAGACGTTGTATTCGATCATGATGGAGAAACAGAGGAAGATGGCATACAGCACCAGCACATAAACACCCAGCTTAAAGTCCAACTTCCAGCCGTTGAGGTGGATCCCGAGAATCTGCGGGTGAAGAAGATGAAGAAAACAAGAACGTACATTGTATAAAATGATCGTGATTTTAACGGTAAACGGCACGTGATTTTAACGGTTTAACGGTAAACGGCTAAAGACTGTAAAAATGCTACAGTGCAAAACTGTTAATTGGTTAACAGAAAGTTTCCTTACTATAGACGGTAAATAACTGTGATAGATCTAACGGCACATTTAATGTAATTTTAAGGTAAAATACCGTTAAATTTACAGTTTTTAAACCTCATTGAATAATTTACAGTGAAAAAACGTAAATTAACATTCCCACAATTCCCTGCGTGATACTTCACATTTGATTTATTTTTGTTGAAATAACTATGTTTCTTCTTAGTTTTCTTAGTTCTTTTCTAATCAGTTATGTACATTAGGGTTTAATGTTACATTTAATGTTGTTAAATTAATGTTTATTGCATTTTTAAAATGTCATGTGTGTTACCATGATGGTGTTTAGTGTTTGTGCGAATGACACTTTGCAGCTTCTATATATTAGTATTAACTTAAAGCTGCAGTCTGTATCTTTTCCTCTTTGTCGCCCTCTCTCTGTTCGAAATCTGTAACTGCAGTGATTCGCGGAATTATCATCTTTACGTGGGTTGTAAATCGGCATGAAACAGCGCGGATGAACACAGTGTTTTGAGGCGAGTGGTGCTGTCAGTCACCACGCTGTGTGGATACTGTCATACAGAATCACAGATTCACTTTTTGAAAGTTTGACCAACATAAGAATTTTCATAAGAAAATGTCTTCTGAACAAGTAAGTAACATCCATTTTTGTTCTGACCAACTAAGGGGGAAAAAGCATTCGACATGATAAGCTTCGTTAGATTTAATCAACGCGATTTACAGCAACCGTGCAAATTATCGCCTACTTTGTTCTCAAATTGTTCATGTTAACAACATCAGCATTGTGTGACTAATGTTAAATTTAATGTGTTTTATGGTTACCTGTGTAGTTCAGAATTCATATTCTCCATAATAGCAAAACGAGAAAGGCACAACAAAGGAAACTCCATAACTGTGTGAATTAAGAAAACGTACTGTTACACGATTGAACTATTGAAATGTCTTACTTGTTCAGCAGAAAAAGGCCGTCTCTTCTTCCGTTTTGAACCCCTTCAAAACACGGAGTTCACGCACTTTTCAAAAGCCCCGCCGATGTTTAAATCCTTGTGTTCGCATGAGACGGTTTCTTTCTCTTTCTCTAGCCACCTTAAATCCGAAGTACGAAGTCTTTTGGGTTTTATTACTGCTAAATCTCCAGTTGACACTGATGATTGTTGTTTGGATCTTTCTGGATGCCATAAGTTTAATTATGCAAAGTGCTGCGAGAAAAGCCTATACATCTAAACATCTCGTCACGCGCAGTATAGCCGGCTAGCCGAAACTCCTTCTTTATGTGTACGGGTGTGACGTAATGACGCAAAAACATGCTCGAATTTCCCGTGGAAACCCACCAGTACCACTGGAATTAAAATCATTATTACAAGCTAAGCGTTTTGAAACTAGCTATGGCAAGCAGATAGTTTTGACCACTGGCAGAATAAGTTTTTTTTAATATAATTATTTTGGATTATTTTTAACTTAAAAAAGTTACGGACTGGAGCTTTAAATGTGGAAGAGCTGCTTGTGATGAGCTTTGATACATCATGTGACTCATCACTGCTGTGATGATTGTTAGTTGTCAGTGTATTACAATGGTATGAAACAGATATTAATACTGCAATAAGTTAGTAAATTAACATATCAGATAATGAAATACGGTTTATTACTGTAAATTTTAAGTTAAGTCTGTAAAACCAATAACGTGGATGCCGTATTTTTTGACGGTAAAGTTCTGGTAATCACAGCTGCCAGTTTTTTTCTGTAAAAACAACGGGATTTTTTTTTACAGTGTACGGGAGGGAGTCCATTTGTGCAACTCACGACTCATTTGAGGTCTATAAGTCAATACATAAAGTCGGGATATCAATTATGAAATGTCTAACCATAGCTAAATAGATCAACGTTACCAAACATTCTGCTAATAAAAAATGAATACAGTATTTCTTTTGAACAACTTTCAGTCAATTCATAACAACATTGGAAATAACTTTTAAATTTTATTGTAATTTCTATATTATAACGTGCTAAATTGAAATTTATAGCGTGAATGTATCTGTTTTATTAAATTTTAAATCAAACATTTGATAAAAAACATTCAGCAAGTATATTTAAGCAATTGTCAATCACTTCACAATAACATTATATATAACCTTTTAAATTGTAATGCCATTTCTACATTATTAAGTGCTAAACTGAATTTTAGAGGGAATGTAGGCCTGTCTGTTTTTATCAATTGATTTTTATTATTATTTAAAAGAATCAACCATTTGATTATTAAAATTTTCACCCAAAAAAATATAATATTCAGTTTAAGCAATCGTCAATCTTTGCATAACATAAGAAAAACCTTTTTAATTTCATTGTCATTTCTATATTATCAAGTGCTAAATTGAATTGTATAGTGTGAATGTGTTTTTACTGATTTTTAAAAACATCTTCCATTTGATTATCAAAACATTCAGCAAGTAAAAACTTTAAGCAATTGTCAATCATTTCGCAATAACATTAGAAATAACTTCAATTTTATTGTCATTTCTATACTATCAAGTGCTAAATCAAATTTTATAGTTTGATTGCATCTATTAATTTATTTTTTCGTTATTTGATTTATTTAAAAGAATCAACCATTTGATTATTACAATTGTCGCCCAAAAAAATCTGTTTAAGCAAGCGTCAATCACTTCGCAACATTTATTTAAAAAATTCAATTAGTTAAAACTGACAATGCAATATTCAGTTTAAACAATTGTCAATCACTTTGCAGTAACATTAGAAATAGCTTTTTAATGTTTATCAAGTGCTACATTTAATTGTATAGTGTGAATGTGTTTTTATTGATAGATTTTGTTATTGTTTGATTTATTTAAAAGAATCAACCATTTGACTATCCAAACATTCAGTAAAAATACAATATTCAGTTTAAGAAATTGTCAATCACTTCACAATAATATTAGAAATAACCTTAATTGTTACTGTATTAGCAAGTGCTAAATTAAAGTTTAAATTGATCTATTTTTGATTTATTTATCAAGATGTTTATAATCTTTCTCAATATCTTTTTTTGCAAATGACTACGAGTGGCACAACTGGTTCTCAATGGTGTAAAATGCTGGTTAAGAATACATACCGTTTTTAATAATCATAACTGATACAGTACCAGCATTAACAACAGGGATGTTTATTTCACTATGAAGAGAGAATATGTACTGTGACAGATTTCCAGCGAATTACACCCGTCATTCAAAATTCAACGTTTTGAAATCTTTTCAGCTGAATTGACAGAGAAGTGCGAGTGTGAGTCAGGAACGTGCTGATTTACTCACGGTGAGAGCGACAGATCCCAGCAGAAGCACCACAGAGTACACGAGTCCTCGACTGTTTATCATCACCTGTACAGAGGACGGAACAACAGAATGCATACAAACATAATGTTCCATATGTTAGCACGCACAGACATATGCACACTTTTGTGTTCTTGTATTGTTAAAGGTGTCAAAAATTTGAGTATCTATTACAGAAATGCAATATGACATCCATAACTATGTTTTCAGTGGTGTATAAAGAACTTACTAATAAACCGTAATGTTTTTACTATCTTAGAATGAGACATTTATATCTACATAACCGCGGGCACCCCCTTCTATGAAGGTCGACATATTGTGACGTCATGTTTCTACCGTAGCCGACAGCGAACACACAGCGCTACAGAGCGCGTTTCGTCACTACCTTGAAAGAGAAGCCGCAGAAAGCTAGAAGCTAGCCATAAACACCGTGAGTAGTGACTTTTCCCTTGTCAGTGTAAAATATGTAGTTGGATTGTTTCATGTAACTTAGTTCTTCTCCCTCGCTGTGTTATGGCTTTGCTATGTGGGGATAAATGTGCTGTTGAGTTTTCAAAATCAGAGAAAAAAAGCCTATTGTGTGTAACGTAGTAAATGGTGTCTAGGGGATGCAGAGGCGCGCGCGCTGTTACAGTCACGTCCTTTTTGCCGCGCGCACCTTTGCGCTCATGCAGACGCGTCGAGTTTAAACAAGGCTTTACGCTTTAACCAGCTCAGCCACAGTAACAGCTCATATTAGCCAGCTAAACTTTTACTACCCAGTTAGAAAACATATATAGTTGCATAGTTTCATGTGGTTCTTCTCCCTCGCTGTATTATGGGTTTGCTATGTGGGGAGAAATGTGCTGGTTACGTTTGTGAGACAATCAGCTGATTACTATTATTATATTATATATTAAGACCCTTGATCCTCACCTGACTATGGCTTTGTAAACTTTATCCATGATGTGGTTTATAATGGACTGTGGTACAGTGACAATGTTACACACTCTTGGCTTACTCTGGCTATTCTCTGCTGTCTCAGACGACGATATGTTTGTCCCGTTTTAGCCACCGTAGCTTCTTCGAAAGGGAGGGGTGAGCAGTGGGCTGAGCTATTAGTGCAGCTCGCAAACGAACCGCTAGATGCTGCTAAAAACTACACACTGCAGCTTTAAATGTGTTTAGACTCTGTTTTATAGTGATTTCTACATCTACTTAAGCCCATATCTTATTTCATGTATGGGATGTATTTATTGTATGTATTTTAATAGTTATACATTTTAAACTCAATACTCTGTAATTTCTGTTTTAAAGGTACAATATGTAGGAATTTTGTAATAAAATATCCAAAAATCACTTGCACAGTGTGATATGTTTCCTGCAGTTGTGTACTTACAATATCCCAAAAGTCTCCAAAGATTTTTTATTTCAGAGAAATTCCCATTTTAAATAAGTGGTCGTCCCGGAAAAAAATGTCGCCTGTCAATGACGCAATATCCGCGCTTTCCTCGGTTTCCGCTCGTACTGCCATAGCCATGACGTAACCATGGCGACAGACGCGGACAACTGCGTAGTTCGTAATGTTTAGCTGCACGCTGTTGTTGTTTCGTTCAATCATTATGGGCCATGGCAAGCAGACTTTGGGACAAAAAAAAAGGAGAACTAAAATGAGGATCAATATCGGCGACCGGCGTGGCGTTTTCGAGATCCTCATTTCTCCACGTCCGCGACTAATTTGGAGGAGCAACACCGCTCTTGCATATACTTTATTAGACAGGTGAGCAAATGTACATAAAACAAAAGGATGTATCTGTGTTTCCTTGAAACACATGCAACTTTCAATAATATCACTTATAAACAATGCGAGAAGGCCTATATGACGTGACAGATCAATCATTATGCATATGTTGATTCACCTCAAAAACTATCAAGTGATCGTTTTGCTAATGAAAATTCACAGTTATATTGCGCTTTGTACTTTGGTAATGCTTTTTATCACTTGTGTTTTGACCGAGATTATGGCAGTGCAAATAAATACAATCGGATATGTGTTGTTAAACAATATTTAGCCATTACTTGCAAATGTTCGTTCAAATTTACTTTGAGTACGATTGGTTTGAACACGTAAAACAACACGCAATTAACGATAAACACGTAAAACTGCGCAGCATTAACCCAACAAATCATTTGACAAATAGCTGTAACAGGATAATATCCAAGGGGGTAATCCATCGACCGGAAGTTGAAGCCGGCCGGGTGCCGCCATCTTGTAGCAGAACTTCACTTGCGTTAGCATTTCCATTGACTCCCATTCATTTTGGCATCACTTTGACAGCGAATAACTTTACATCTGAGGCGTTTAAAGACTCCATTTGTCCATTATTTATTTCTAAAGAAACACGACAATGTATAAAGGGCTCCATTACCTTCTACACTCACCGGCCACTTTATTAGGTACACCTGTCCAACTGCTCGTTAACACTTAATTTCTAAGCAGCCAATCACATGGCGGCAACTCAGTGCATTTAGGCATGTAGACATGGTCAAGACAATCTCCTGCAGTTCAAACCAAGCATCAGTATGGGGAAGAAAGTTGATTTGAGTGACTTTGAACGTGGCATGATTGTTGGTGCCAGAAGGGCTGGTCTGAGTATTTCAGAAACTGCTAATCTACTGGGATTTTCACGCACAACCATCTCTAGGGTTTACAGAGAATGGTCCGAAAAAGAAAAAACATCCAGTGAGCGGCAGTTCTGTGGGCGGAAATGCCTTGTTGATGCCAGAGGTCAAAGGAGAATGGCCAGACTGGTTCGAGCTGATAGAAGGGCAACAGTGACTGAAATAACCACTCGTTACAACCGAGGTATGCAGCAAAGCATTTGTGAAGCCACAACACGCACAACCTTGAGGCGGATGGGCTACAACAGCAGAAGACTCCACCGGGTACCACTCATCTCCACTACAAATAGGAAAAAGAGGCTACAATTTGCAAGAGCTCACCAAAATTGAACAGTTGAAGACTGGAAAAATGTTGCCTGGTCTGATGAGTCTCGATTTCTGTTGAGACATTCAGATGTTAGAGTCAGAATTTGGCGTAAACAGAATGAGAACATGGAACCATCATGCCTTGTTACCACTGTGCAGGCTGGTGGTGGTGGTGTAATGGTGTGGGGGATGTTTTCCTGGCACACTTTAGGCCCCTTAGTGCCAATTGGGCATCGTTTAAATGCCACGGCCTACCTGAGCATTGTTTCTGACCATGTCCATCCCTTTATGGCCACCATGTACCCATCCTCTGATGGCTACTTCCACCATGTCACAAAGCTCTAATCATTTCAAATTGGTTTCTTGAACATGACAATGAGTTCACTGTACTAAAATGGCCTCCACAGTCACCAGATCTCAACCCAATAGAGCATCTTTGGGATGTGGTGGAACGGGAGATTCGCATCATGGATGTGCAGCCGACAAATCTGCGGCAACTGTGTGATGCCATCATGTCAATATGGACCAAACTCCCTGAGGAATGCTTCCAGCACCTTGTTGAATCTATGCCACGAAGAATTGAGGCAGTTCTGAAGGCAAAAGGGGGTCCAACCCGTTACTAGCATGGGGTACCTAATAAAGTGGCCGGTGAGTGTATGTTACATTATCGCCCCGTAGAAACAGTTTTTGTAAAAATAGGCTAACGATTGCGTCATAACCACTCGACTCTCTGTCGCGCTGTACAGTAATTACCGTACAGACAGGAGGAGAAGCTCGCAGGCAATCGGGGGGACGTCCCGTCAAGGGAGAAGCCCATAGATAATGAGTCCATAAAAGCAACGGAATACTTACTCCTGCTCACTCACGCCAAAGAACTCTTTGCTCAAGTTCCCCGTCTCTGCAAGATTAACGTTGGCAATTTGCACGCACAGCTACTAGAAGATTTACGTCTGTCAGACAGGTTGCTCACGTCATCAAGCTTAGTTTGAGTCGGTTTTAGTCTGCGCGTCAGGAACGGAAGTGCTCAAAAATTGCTTCAACTGTCTCAACTGAGTTCCAATGAGATTGCTCTGTCCACTTCTTATACTATGATAATATAGCATAACATTTCGCGTTCCTTGCAGTTAATTCATTATGGTGACACAAAATATTGCGATCAGACGTACAGGTACCGTGATCATGATTCATTAATTCTATAACATCTCTGGATGGTGAAAACGACATCTCCCATCGTTCAACTCTCCCTCATAGCGTCACCAAGCTTCGCCTTTGTTATTGTTGGTAACTGCGCCCTCTAGTGGCGAAAAATTCCTACATATTGTACCTTTAATTTTAAAAGCCTAACCAGGGACAGGGGTTGCAAATTAGTCATGGCTAGAAACCTGTATGCATGGCATCTACTTTGTATTCTTTATAAAGCAATGTTCTATGCATTTGTCCCTGTCAAATAAACATTAAATAAATAAATAAACAACATCATCAGTGCATTAAACAGCAGAAGCAGGAGCACAGCTTGAAGAGGTGTTGCCGAGGCTCGGTGTGCTTACGACTGATCCGTAATTGACAGCCATGGTCTGCAGTGCCCAGGGAACGCCGAGTCCCACCAGAATATCAAACACGTTACTACCGATAGTGTTGGACACGGCCATGTCTCCCAGACCTACAGAAGCAGAAGAACCGAGATGTCAACTCCTCTCCGAAAAACATTCACAGCTCACATCTCTTTGTTTCAGTGCGATGTATATAATGCAGACTTTCAGAGTGGCTGTTGGAGAGTAGCAATGTAAAAACAAGTCAGCAGAAAAACTAACAGCAAAAAGTGACTTACAAAGTAAAACTGCAAAAGGGAAAATAGCAAAAAAGTAATAAGCAACATTAAACAATAAATAAATAGAAATCCACACAAATTAAAGTAAAAAAACTACACGTTTTTCAAAAGCACCGCAAATCAGCCAAAATAGTACATTTTAGCAAAATTAAAACGAATATAGAATATATAAAATAAAATAAAGTATTTAGTCAAATGCTGCTGTTATTATCATTATTAAAACATTGTCCCTTTTCTTTAATCATCCTGCTAAAAAAAAGAAAACATTGGCTCAAAACAGTGACTAAAACAAATAAAATAATAATAATAACAATAATAATACATTATTTTTAATATTATTATTTAGAATAATACATATTTATTATTAATTATTTTAATAAATAATTTAGTTTGAGCATTCAGCTAGAAAAAAACATTGACTCAAAAACATAATAATAATACATTATTATTTATTTTTTTCATTATTAATTATAATACATTAATATTTATTATTCATTATTTTATTAAATAAACAAGTATTTAGTCAAATGCTGCAGTTCATCATTATTAAATCATTGTTCATTTTCTTTAATCATCTTGCTAGAAAAACAAATAAAATATAATAATAATCTTATGTAATAATAATAAATTATTATTATAATTATAATCTATAATAATAAATATGTATTCATTATTTTATTAAATCCTTTTTGTCTAGAGAAAACATTGGCTCATAAACATTAATAATAATAATAATAACATTATTATTATTAATTATTATTACTGATGTTTATTATTAATTACAATACACTCATATTTATTATTAATTATTTTACTAAATAAAAAGCATTTAGTCAAATGCTGCTGTTCATCATTGTCATTACAATCAAAACATTGCTCCTTCTGTTTGAGAACTTTGGCTCAAAAACACTGACTATAAAAATTTAATTTTGTGCCAGAAATTACACATTTAACCTTTAACTTTTAGATACATACATATAAACGTCAATGTAGCATTAGCTTCAATATTTTTGGAGTGCAAGGGATTGTGGGTAACATCAGCTGTTCTCTGATGCACAGATGGCACTGAGATGCAGCCCATGTGATTGATAGTGACACAGGAACAGGAAATCACATGATCAGATCCTGCGATACGTGAAGCTGAAACATCCTGCCGCAGTTTTATTGATCGGCCAGGAGCTGTCGAGATCAGAACGGCACGATCGATCTACCTTGACGAGCCACGATCAGACTGGCGATACAGTCCGGGACGCTAGTGCCCGCGGCCAGAAACGTGATGCCCATGATGACATCAGGAATACCGAGTGTGTATCCGATGATCGTCACCTGAGAGACAGCGAGGGGAGAGGGTTAATACAAACTAGAAGGACAAATCAAAGAGAGAGAGAGAGAGAAAGTATCGCGCATACCATCCACACCATAAAGTAGGAAAAGACTGCGATCCAGACGGTGGAGAGGATGAACGATAGCATGAAGTATTTCTCCCAGCGAGACTTGGCACAGTTCGGGATGGTGAAGAACAGGATCAACAATAACGGCCAAGAGATCAGCCATTTAGTCGTGTTCACGCAGCCGCCTGAAACACACACACAACTAACATGATTATTGACTGTTTTACAGGGATATTGAAGTATAAACACATTTTCTGTTCTCGTTTTACAATCAGATACAAAGCTTGTGTTTAACCAGCACTATTCCTTTAAATGCTCATATTTGCTGCTAAAATGCACCATTATGAGGTACATTTCTTTCTTTACTTTTTGACACGAAAAGTAATAAGCAACATAAAAATAAAGAAAGAGTAACAAAAAGTGTCAACTACATTTTTAAATAGTGATGTAAAAGTTTAAATGTAAATGGTGAAAAAGTACCATAGACAGACAGACAGACAGACAGACAGACAGACAGACAGACAGACAGACAGATAGACAGACAGATAGATAGATAGATAGATAGATAGATAGATAGATAGATAGATAGATAGATAGATAGATAGATAGATAGATAGATAGACAGACAGACAGACAGACAGACAGACAGACAGACAGACAGACAGACAGACAGACAGACAGACAGACAGACAGACAGAGATGGATGGATGGATGGATGGATGGATGGATGGATGGATGGATGGATGGATAGACCGATAGATAGAGATAACCTGGAAATCTGAATGGAGAGGTGAGTTCACTCTCTTTCTCTTCATTGGTTTTGTCTTCTGGTACGTTTCCATTCTCGATGTCTGGCTTCCCGTCCACCACAGCCGTCTCCACTCCATTGGCTGACTGGACCAACCTCTGACGCTACACACACACAAACACACACACACACACACACACACACACACACAAAGTTTTATGGGGACTTTCCATAGACATAATGATTTTTTTACTGTTTATGTTCGCTGGTCAATGTTTAAATGTGAATAAAAGGCTAAATTAAATCTTTTCATCATATAAAGCGATCGAGTCTCATCAGAAAATTTGGACTAAATCGCTCTATTCATATGGATTAGTTTTATGATCTCTTTATGAACTTTTTGAAGCATCGAAGTGTTAGTTGTGTAGCTGTCAATGGAGGGACAGAAAACTCTCAGATTTCATCAAAAAGATCTTCATTTGTGTTCCTGAAGATGAACGAAAGTCGTACGGGTTTGGAACGACATGAGGAAGAGTAATTATTAATGACAGAATTTTCATTTTTAGATGAACTAACCCTTTAAAATTTAGCTCTTAAGATTTTAAATTTCTTTGATTGTCAATAATACAAAAAATAAAATAATAATTATGAAATATAAAAACATTTTAATTTATTTATTTTGGGGTAATTTCTTGCTAAGTTTTGTAAGAATCACCATTTCATATCTTTAATTCAGCTGCTAATATGCCGCAAACTAAGTGTGTATATTAATGTGATATTGTTTTTGCTGTATCACAGTGTGGTCTGTACATCCAGGCATCTGTACCTCAGTTATGATGAGCCGGCTGGCCATGCGCAGGCGAGTCTTGGGGCCGAAGTGGTTGGTGACCATGACACGCAGACCCGCTTCAGGGAAACGGTAATTCGTAGGACTGGCGTTGATGATTTCATCAACCATTACCACCGAACCTCGACTGTAGATCTTACTGGACTTGACTTGAGAAAGCCAATAAAATATATTTAAAAAAAACACACAGAGCAAATTATGACTGATATTCTTTCTTGATATTCTAAAATAGCGTGTTTCAGCACTTATATGAAACATTTACTCTGCTATCTATTAGATGTTTTTTTTGAGAAGCATCAGAAAAAGAGTGTGCTATGCAGACTTCAGTTCATGCAGAAAGGTTTAGTAAGACTAAACAGACAGGCAGGGTTAAGCGTGAAGATACTGATGCCAGAAACTAACTCTGGAGAGACAGAAGAGATGGTTGCTGTACCTCTGAGGAGCTACAGAGCTGGATAAACAAAGCCCTCTCGTGTCTGCTTTAATCCTGAAGCAGGAGAGCTCTTCTCTCACAAAGACAACAGACAAATGCAGTCATGCTTTTCAGAGCATGAAAATAAATATCTATAATTATCTATCTATCTATCTATCTATCTATCTATCTATCTATCTATCTGTCTGTCTGTCTGTTATCTATCTATCTGTCTGTCTGTCTGTTATCTATCTATCTGTCGTTCTATATATCTATCTATATCTGTCTGTCTGTCGTTCTATCTATCTATCTATCTATCTATCTATCTATCTGTCTGTCTGTCATTCTATCTATCTATCTATCTATCTATCTGTCATTTTATCTATCTATCTATCTATCTATCTATCTATCTATCTATCTATCTATCTATCTATCTATCTATCTATCTATCTGTATCTCTGTCTTCTGTCTATCTATCTGTTTATCTATCTGTCTGTCTGTCTGTCTGTCGTTCTATCTATCTGTCTGTCTGTCTGTCTGTCTATCTAAAAAAATAATTACTTACATTTTTAGAATATAATATATAATTTTAAATAAAAAATGTATAAAATGATATTTTAAAATGTAATTCAGCAATTGAAAACATTAATAAAGTCACTATGTATTAATAGCATTTTTTTTTTTTTTACAAACAAGTCAAATAATAGATGCATATACATAAAGACACCCCAGAAATATTATAATCTATATTTTCAGATGTTTGTAGCATAACTGACTGTATTTAGAACTTGCAGAACTGGACATTTTCTTTTGAACAAATTTAAGTCTTCTTATACAGTATCACATGTTCTACTGATGACCTCACACTTGAACTGACGGTGACAAGGGTATGGAATTATGAAGTATGACTAGTATTAAATCTGAATTTTTAAAGCCTGTCTGTCTGTTTAGTCTAACCTGGACCCATGAGCGGCGGGACAGACGGATCATCTCATTTACAGTCTAAACTGTGTTTACCGTCCTCCAGTTCACTGCCGGCCGCTGCGTTTCCATTGGCAACATTCTTATCACTCCGTCTTGTGAAAAACTTCTGCAAGCTGGAATTAAATCTAATAGAGACACAGATCCAAAACAAAAGAGGCTTGATTAGGAGCATCCACAGGTTATATAACAAACTGAGAGTTCCCTATCGGTCAGTCACTACAACGTAGGTCAGACTGACCAATAGGAATCTCGCTAGAGAGGCCAATCTACTTCGAGTGAAACTAAAACAAGCCAATGCACATTGGCGTGCAATCATTTGCATCAGCTGTGAGCCTCGCAGCGCGGGTATTTAACGAGCAGCTGTTGTGATTGCACACTAGCTTTTTGCTTCGGAGCCAAACGCTTCATGCATAATCTACAGAGTGTGACTCTACGAGCCTCTTCGTTGGATCTCTCGGGTGCGGGCGTTACAGCACGGCAGCGCGAGCAGTCTTGTCCTCTCTCTTCTGTCTTTGTCTTTTTGTTTTGTGTTTTTTTTTTAGCAAATTCAAAAAGCTGTTTTAACAGCTGGTAAGGTGCGCAGTTCAGCGCTCAAAAGCTGTTCTCACAGCCGGTAAGACCTGCCAGCGAGAGAGAGAGGCGGCGCACAGACGGGTGCACATTCCCGTCTGTGTTCGCGGCGACTGTTCCCCTGCGTGCTTCAGCACTAGTGAGAGTAGTCCCTAAAAGAGCAAACACAGATAGAGAGTGTCTTTTTAAAGATGACTTTCTATCTGTGTGTTTCTGGATGTGGTCGTTACCTGGGCTCACAGGATGGTCACAAACGCTGCCTCGTGTGTCTGGGCATTGAACACGCTGAGGCAGCGTTTGTGGATGAGTCATGTACCCATTGTGGTAAGATGACCATCGCGGAGCTACGGTCGAGACTCTTGTTCCTGCAAAGGGGCGGAGTCCCCGTGCCTCTGCCTCGATCCAATCCTCCTCAGAGGGTTGCTTCGGGCGGTGGCGCGGGTGACCTGAGGATTACGGTGAGCGCGTCTCCTTCGGGGAACCAACCCCCTAGGAGCCCTCACCCCTCTCATGCTCCGCAGCCAGTTGAGAGAGAGAGAGCTGGACCATCCATTGGAGAGAGCTGGACCATCCTCGAGGTGTGTACTGGTTGTCTCCTTTGGGGCTCCCAGTGAAGACCAGATGTCGATCGCTCCATCGGAGGGTGGGTCAGACCTCTCTGCGGACGACAACTCGGCACCGCTGCCTCCTTCGGGGGTGCCAGCGGTGCCTGAGACGGACCCGGAGATGATGGCCATACTTTCCCGGGCCGCCAACGGGGTCGGGCTCGTGTGGAATCCTCCACCGTGTCCCGAACCCTCGAGGTTGGACGATTGGTATCTCGGGGTGGCGCGCGCTGGTTCTCAGCAACCCACCCCAGTGCCTTTCTTCCCGGAAGTGCAAGAGGAGCTTACGGGGACGTGGACGGCACCTTTTACTGCCAGAAACCGTTCCGGTGGCTTCTCCTCCCTCACCACCCTTGATGGCAGAGCGGCTAAGTTGCTATGCTTGCTATGCTATGCAACTGTGCCCTAACTCCACTTGGCGTGGAGAACCGTGTCTCCCTTCCCGGGCCTGTAAGTACTCGTCGGATTTAACCGGCAAGGCTTACAAGGCCTGTGGGTAAGCTGCCTCTGCCATGCACGCCATGGCATTGCTGCAGGTCCATCAGGCCAAGGCACTGAAGGACCTGCACGAGGGTGGTCACGATCCCCAAGTTCTTCAGGAACTTCGTATCGCGACGGACCTCGCGCTTCGTGCGACGAAGGTGACCGCGCGGTCGGTGGGTCGTGCGATATCCACCCTGGTGGTCCAGGAACGCCATCTCTGGCTGTGTCTGGCTGACATGAGGGAGTCTGACAAACTCCGGTTTCTCAACTCCCCTGTGTCCCAGACCGGCCTCTTCGGCGACGCGGTCGAGAACTTCGCCCAGCAGTTCTCGGCTGTACAAAAGCAGACGGAGGCCATCAGACACATCCTGCCGCGGCGGCCAGCTGCTGCCTCCACCCCACCGCCTGAGGCACCTCAGTCTGCTCGTCGCCGAGGGCGTCCTCCTGCGTCTGCCCCTGCTCCCGCACCGCAGCAGCAGCCTCCACCTAAGCGGCGCCGTGGAGCCAGTCGCAGGCAGGGCGCCCCGCCCGTCCAGGCCCCCGCCAAGAGGGGCGGCAAAGCCAGGGGTAAGCGGCCCTAGGACGGGCGACCCGGAGGGAAGGGACTGCTCTCCAGGAGACGATGACTGCATCGCTCCCTCCCCCGGAAGAGGGCCGGGTGGAAAATCTTTTGTTTCGTTCTGTTTGTGTTCCGCCGCTGGCCTTAAAACCAGCGGTACCCAAATTTTCAATAAAAGAGCAGTTTCTACCATCTCTGGGTCCGAAGAGGACCCGGAGAGCAGTGGGGGGACAGAATCCTCACCACTCTCATCCGCCTCCTCGGTCGCCAGTGAGCAGCAGTGTGCAGTTCGAGAACGCCACCTAGCCGCCTCCTGCACCTCCTGCCCCGTGGAACCAGGTAAATGCTGCACAGCACACACAGACCCCGCTACGGGCCGCCTCCCAGAGAGAGCCTCCCGAGCCACGTCCCTGTGTTCCACCTCGCTGCCCCACTCCAGGTACGCCTACGGTCCCTTTGGTCCCGCTTGCACGGTCTCTGAGAGCCTGGTTAGCGCTACCCAGTCCGTCTCGCTGGCTCATTCGGACCATCAGGCTCGGATATGCGATTTAGTTCGCCCGGCGTCCCCCCAAGTTTCGGGCCATCCACTCCACTACAGTGAGAGCAGCCGATGCCCATGTCTTGCGTGCGGAGATCGCAGTCCTACTGGCGAAGGACGCGATAGAGCCGGTCCCTCCAGCCGATATGAGGTCAGGGCACTACAGTCCCTACTTCATTGTACCCAAGAAAGGTGGTGGGTTACGACCGATCTTGGATCTGCGAGTTTTGAATCGGAGCCTCCACAAGCTACCGTTCAAAATGCTCACGCAGAGACGCATTTTCGGATGCATCCGTCCCCAAGATTGGTTTGCAGCGATCGACCTGAAGGACGCGTACTTTCATGTCTCGATTCTTCCTCGACACAGGCCGTTTCTGCGCTTTGCGTTCGAGGGTCGAGCATATCAGTACAAGGTCCTGCCCTTCGGGCTGTCCCTGTCTCCCCGTGTCTTCACGAAAGTCTCGACGACTGGCTCATACTAGCACACTCTCGAGATCAGTTATGCGAACACAGGGACCTCGTGCTCACGCACCTCAGCCAGTTGGGCCTTCAGGTCAACTGGGAAAAGAGCAAACTCGCCCCTGTGCAGAGGATCTCTTTTCTCGGTATGGAGTTTGATTCGGTCGCACAGATAGCGCGCCTCACAGAGCAGCGCGCTCAGTCGGTGCTGAGTCGGTGCTTGAACACGTTCAAAGGCAGGACGGTGGTCCCACTGAAATTTTTTCAGAGGCTCCTGGGGCATATGGCAGCGGCAGCAGCGGTAACTCCGCTCGGCTTGCTTCATATGAGACCGCTTCAGCACTGGCTTCAAGGCAGAGTCCCGAGATGGGCGTGGCATCAAACGTTATTGGCAATCACACCGGCCTGCCGCCAGACCTTCAGCCCGTGGTCAGACCTCTCGTTCCTTCGGGCAGGAGTCCCCTTGGAACAGGTCTCCAGGCATGCTGTGGTATTCACAGATGCCTCCGCCACCGGCTGGGGTGCCACGTACAACGGGCATGCAGTGTCAGGGGTGTGGACGGCTCCCCAACTGCATTGGCACATCAATTGCCTCGCGTTGCTAGCAGTACATCTCGCTCTGAGCCACTTGAAAAGGCCGCTACAGGGCAGGGACGTACTGGTCCGTACGGACAACACAGCGACCGTTGCGTACATCAACCGACAAGGTGGTCCACGCTCCCGTCGCATGTCGCAACTCGCCCGCCATCTCCTCCTCTGGAGTCAGAAGCATCTGAGGTCGCTTCGAGCCATGTATGTCCCCGGTGTGCTCAACCGTGTGGCCGACGAGCTATCACGAGCTGTGCTTCCGGGAAAATGGCGACTCCACCCCCAGGTGGTTCAGCTGATCTGGAGAGAGTTCGGAGAGGCTCAGGTAGACCTGTTTGCCTCTTCAGAGACCTCCCACTCCCAGCTGTTTTACTCCCTGACCGAGGGAACACTCGGCACAGACGCACTGGCACACAGCTGGCCCCGGGGCCTCCGCAAATATGCATTTCCCCCCGTGAGCCTGCTTGCACAGACACTGTGCAAAGTCAGGGAGGACGAGGAGCAGGTCCTTCTGGTGGCTCCCTATTGGCCCACCCGGACTTGTTTCCCAGAACTCATGCTCCTTGTGACAGTCCCTCCCTGGCCCATTCCTCTGAGGAAGGATCTTCTGACTCAGAGATGGGGCACCCTATGGCACCCGCATCCAGACCTCTGGAAACTCCATGTCTGGTCCCTGGATGGGACGCGGAGGTTCTAGGTGACTTACCCCCTGAGGTACTTAACACCATCACTTCACCACGGGCGCCGTCCACGAGACGTGTTTACGCCCTGAAGTGGAAACTGTTCGTCGCATGGTGTTCTTCTCGCCGAGAAGACCCCCGTAGATGTTCGATAGGGTCTGTGCTTTCCTTCTTGCAGCAAGGGTTGGAGCGAAGGCTGTCTCCCTCCACCCTCAAAGTACATGCTGCCACTATTTCAGCTTATCACGACCACATAGATGGCAAAACAGTGGGGAAGCACGACCTGGTCGTCAGGTTTCTTAGGGGGGCGAGACGATTGAATCCTCCTCGACCCCCCTCCATACCCTCTTGGGACCTTTCCCTGGTGCTTCGAGCACTTCAGGATGTTCCCTTTGAGCCTCTGCAGTCAGTAGACTTAAAGCTTCTTTCCATGAAGACTTTGCTACTGGTTGCACTGGCCTCTGTCAAGAGGGTAGGAGACCTGCACACATTTTCGGTCGACGAATCATGCCTAGAGTTCGGGCCGGGTGACAACCATGTGGTACTAAGACCCCGGCCTGGCTATGTGCCCAAGGTTCCTACCACTCCCTTCAAAGACCAGGTAGTGAACCTGCAAGCGCTGCCTTTGGAGGAGGCAGACCCAGCCCTGGCTTTGCTCTGTCCCGTTCGCGCTTTGCGTATGTACGTGGACAGAACTCAAAGCATCAGGACCTCAGACCAGCTCTTTGTCTGTTACGGAGGCCAGCAGAGGGGAAAGGCTGTCTCCAAGCAGAGGATGGCCCACTGGATAGTGGATGCAGAGGCCCGGCTCTGTCGGCTTGCTGCACCCTACTGTGCACCCTTATTGCTCCAGAGTGAAAAACCTGTCGAGTCCTCCAAAACCCCTCGGCCCGGACATGGCGGAGCGTCCGGTGCCAGGCCTTTATCCGCTGAATCCCTGAGAGCCGGATCTGGGCTGGGTTCCATATGTGTGACCCTACGGGGATCCCATGTGTGTATATTCTCCACGGCTGCTCCTAAGTCGGAAGCCCGTGTCTTTCCCCTGGGCTAAGTTCCCATTATTCATATACAGTACAACCTTCGGGTTAGTCCATATGTATTTTCCACATAACTCTTTGAAGAAGTGGCTTCCGCAGCGTTCTCCTTCCTAATTAGAAAGGGCACGCTTTCCCAGTGTTATCCAATAATCTCACTGTATGGGTTATTTCGGAACAACAGTGACAGATACACTCTGTGTAAAGCCTCCTCCTATCGTCCTTCCAGGCAAGAAGGTGTAGAGGCTTGCACGGGACGCTGGATGGGGTGCAGCAGCTGTGGCGCTTTGGTAGGGATTCCTATTGGTCAGTCTGACCTACGTTGTAGTGACTGACCGATAGGGAACGTCTCGGTTACATATGGTAACCCTCGTTCCCTGAGGGAGGGAACGGAGACGTAGGTCCCGTCACCACATCTGCTGCCGCCCGCTGGGGCGGCCAGCTTTTTCAGGTTTGGCTCCTCAGCAAAAAACTAGTGTGCAATCACAACAGCTGCTCGTTAAATACCCGCGCTGCGAGGCTCACAGCTGATGCAAATGATTGCACGCCAATGTGCATTGGCTTGTTTTAGTTTCACTCGAAGTAGATTGGCCTCTCTAGCGAGATTCCTATTGGTCAGTCTGACCTACGTCTCCGTTCCCTCCCTCAGGGAACGAGGGTTACCATATGTAACCGAGACGTTTTCTTCCTGAGTGCCAACATTTACCGCTCTGGGATGACCAGAATTAAAAACATCATGATAATTAACGACTTCACTGATTACAAGTAATTATCATTATTTTTTATTTTTTATATTCGATACACTACCAAAGTTTGGGGTCGGTAAGATTGTTTCCGAAGAAGTCTCTTCTTCTCACGAGGCTGCATTTATTTGTTAAAAAAAATACAGTGGAAATATTGTGAAATACTATTTGAATATGTTTTAAAATGTGATTTATTCCTGTGATCAAAGCTGAATTTTCAGCATCATTACTCCAGTCTTCAGTGTCACATGATCCTTTAGAAATCACTCTAATATGATGATTTGATCAAGAAACATTTCTGATTATTATCAATGTTAAAAACAGTTGTGGTGCTTCATATGTCTGTGGAAACTGTGATACATTTTATTTCGGCATTCTTTTATGAATAGATGGTTCAAAAGAACAGCATTTATTTGAAATATAAAACTTTAGGGACTGTTTAGGGGCTACCGGAGGAGTTTTTAGATCTATAGTAAAAATAGACTTGACTCTCCCTTCGCCAGCAATACATTTTTCTATGACCCTCCAAAATGATTGTGAAAAAAAGCATGACCCTCCCCAATAATTTATTGATTACTTCTGTACTGGTTTGCGCTAAAATACACACAATTATCTCTCTCTGACACACACGCACACACACACACACTTATTAATAATCTTAAAATGAAAATGTTCTCCATTGACGCCGACCCGTCGTCCAATATAATCCACTGCTTGCCTGTTCGTCTATGTATTAAAACTGGTATCCCGTATTCGGGATTCAGTATGCAGTCCCGGAACTAGGGCTGTAACGATATATGCGATATGAAACCGAAATCGCGACACTCAGATCCACGAACCTTTGTCGCGTGTGAGAAGGCAGAATCCTTCCAACTCCCAGTGTTATAATAAAGAGTCCAGACATTAGAAAAATATCAGTCTACACGTGCGTTTTATATTTGATATGAGGGAAATACACATTACGGACGTGACACAAAAAAATCTTTAACTTTTATGTGGCAAAATATTTTTTTGTAATTCTGTGAATTAGCCTACACTGCGCAAACCAAAAGTAATAGGCTACTACCCACCGGATGAAGAAGGGTTGGCTCTCCACAGAACATAAAATATTCATTTTATTTTATTTTTCGTGTTCGCATTTATGAGGAAAAAACAAAGTTCTCCGTTATGGATGTGACTAAAAGACTGCTTTAAAACTTTCACAGAGACCTCAAACAGAAGACACAAAGCCTTTCTTTAAAGTGAATTTCGTTTTGTAGCCTATTAATTGTATCTTAGGCCATGTCCACACGGACACGGGTATTTTTATAACCAGAGTTTTTCCTACAGCGTTTAAAAAAAAATCCCATCCACACATGCTCCATCTCCGTCTACATGAAAACGCAAAAACACGCTATCAAGCATGGTCAAGAGCATGCCACGCCAGCAGGCGGCGATATAAACCTTAACCGTAAAGCCACGTTGGCCAATCAGAAGCGCAAATCTGACGTCAAACACAAAAACACGCTATCAAGCACGGTCAAGAGCATGCCACGCCAGCAGGCGGCGATATAAACCTTAACCGTAAAGCCACGTTGGCCAATCAGAAGCGCAAATCTGATGTCAAACACAGCGGATAACGGCGCACACTCTGACGTCGCAAGGCAAAAACCCCGGTTTCACTGTCTACACGACAACACTGTAACCGGCGTTTCTGAAAATCCTCACCCTGGCAGGGGTTTTCAAAAATGTTCGGTTTCAGTGCGTTTTCGTGTGGACGAATGGCCGAACCGCGTAAAAAAATTCACGGTTATAAAAAATACCCGTGTCCGTGTGGACAGGGCCTTAATTTAAATCAATGTTTCATCAACCAATTGCCTGGATTTAATAAATAACGGATTTAATTCAAAACGAAAGAAAACAGACTTCTCTCTGCTTATGTAATACATATGAAATGTGCATTTCCGCAAAGATCGCAAGTCAGCATCATCAACTTCATCTTTGCAGCCGACACTGACACAGAAAACACCTGTTTATTAATAAACAATTCAAATGTCTCCTTGCTATATTTGACATATTCATAATCATTACTTTTGCCGGTTCTTTGTGACAGCTTTTAGGTGCTTTATTGGCAGCGCCACCCTTACATGTTACATGAACGCGTCATCACCGCACCCCGGTTTTGTTGGGTCAGACCCATATGCTAGCGATAGGGGGCCGAGACTGAGAGAGCCACGTGGAAAAATATGCACCAAACAAGCCACTTTGAAATGTTGCTGTTTTCATGAATACAAAAGTTCGGTGACCCTCCCCCTAGACTAAAAAAAGTTGGATGACCCTCCCCTCAACAAAAGAATAAAAAGACATGACCCTCCCCATTTCATAAATTACATCCATTCCAAAAATACAGTAGAAATAAATAAATGTTCCACTTTTGAAGTACAAAAAATTGAGGGCTTTTGAACATAAATCGCAATATTTTGTTTTAGTCCTAATTTTGAACTTCACTCTATTCTGCAAGTGTGTGTATATCTGATATGCCTGTGGAGAATACTCACTTCATGATGAGGATATATACAACATACATGAGCACCAGCACCAGACTCTCCCACCTAAAACACACACGACAGATTTATACAATCAAAACCAGACGTCAGATCAGTTGGAGCTTAACAAAAATCAGACAAGAGAGGAAAACGAAAAGAGACTCACCACACAATCTTTCCATCATAGATAAACTGATTGAATTCAAACAAAAAGATAATCAGTGCAGTTACAGTCTAGTTCCAAAATAAACTGTAATATTCAATATAAATAAATAATATATATCCCATATTATTAGATACTTTAGAGCAAATATTCCTATGGAGGAAGTTATTGTATGATGATTAAAATCACAAAATGGCCTTAAACAATTACTAAATAAACTGCAAAAGAGATTGCATGCTTCAGAGAAAAGCACAGCAACATGTTCATTTACAGTTACGATTCACAGTAAATGATGTGTGTTTAAGTCTCTAATAATCTGCATTTGGCAACGCTACATACGCCAACCCTCTTCCCAAATTCTTAATGAGAATCATTTAGAAATCTGTTGTTGTCAACAAAGAGAAGCGTTAAGGTCTCAATGCAGGTTTCCGACAAAATAATGGTTTAATGACTGAACGCAAAGTAATTAAGACAACCTAACTGTAATTTTACTGTTGTTCTGTAAAATAAAATAATGATAATAATAATTATTGTTGTTAATAATAATAATAATAACAATTCTATTTATATTTTTATTGCAACATATATTGTATAATAATATTATATATATATATATATTGAAATACTTTTTAAAAATATATTTTTTAAATTATAATTGTATGTATCGTTGCAATAGTAATCTATTAAAATAAAAATGTATTAATAATAATAATATCACATGCCTGAACCCTGAATTACAGGATGATGTTGTTACAGTGTGTTTCATTTGAGACTCACCACAATAAGAGCAACTACAGACAATATGTAGAAGAAAGAGTCACGGAAAACAGCCCACCAGGTCAGTAAGACCACCTACACACATCAACACACACTACTGTTAAATCAATCAATAAATACACAAAGCTAAAGAATAATGAACAGTGTGCACTGAATATGACCTGCGGTTTACAAAAAGAAAAAAAAGAAAACAACAATGTTAAACAATATGAAATGATAAATGGTTCAATATATAAATGTCACAAGACATGCAGCAAGGCCTCCAGTTATTATCTCAGAAATAAAAACAAATGCAATTTTAATCAGATTTTGTATGAAAACCTTTTGGAAATCCAATAAGAACAATAAATATGAGCCAAGAAAAATCTAAGTTAAATAAATTTTAAAAAATGCAGTTGATCTTAAGAGAGAGAAAAAAAGCATTCTGGAAATAGAGGGTCAAGTTGAGTGCATAATATAATGAGATACATTATTCAACGCAGAACATTTTGGCAAATGCATTGAACCCGACCAAAAAAGAAAAAGAAAAAAGTTTACTCTTAAAACAAATCAAGATCAGTCAATTGTTCTTTCATGGTAAATGGTAAATGGTAAATGGACTGCATTTATATAGCGCTTTCACAGACCCAATGGCCACCAAAGCGCTTTACATTTGCCTCACATTCACCCATTCACACACTCATTCATACACCGACGGGCGACGGCAGCCATGCAAGGCGCCATCCAGCTCGCCGGGAGCTTGATATAAAGCTTGTCATAAAAGAACCATCATCTTATCAAGCACCATTTTATGGTTTTTGAGGTTCTTTGGACTTTAAGTCTATTCTTCATATCAGTGTTTTGGTGCTGAGTTCTTTAATGCACCCTTATGTAGATGGTTTTCTTATTTTGAAATATTGCTGACTTTACAGCTACTGTTGGAGAAGAAGCACACACACACACACACACCTGCCCGGCAAAAATCCCACAAACTCCTATGATGCAGAGAATATTGAAGACGGCAGAACCGACGATAGTTCCAACTCCAACATCACCGTGAGTGATGAAGACCCCTGAAAACACAAACGTTTAACACAGAAACTGTGTCACAGTTTAGGGGTTTGCTCAAATCTGAACACAAATACTCTCAGGAAGAACACTGCAAAAAAATGACGTTCTTCCTTTCCAGGACAAATAATAACAATTCTTAAAAGAAGATAGATTTACGTGACGAGGAAAGTTATTTTTTTCAAGAAAGTCTTGTTTTCTGAAAAGCTCTGCAAAGTTATAATGCTCAAAGTCCCTCCAGCGGGAGTTCTTCTCTATATCAGTGTCAGTGTTTCTGAACTCCTGAAACGCCTCCATTGTAGTCTTGAGTTTCTTCCTGGAACAAACATGTCACAATATTCCTCATTTAAATAATTCATACGCAGAATAAAGGGGCGGGGCCTGGTTGAGTTAATTAGTAGTGTGTTGAAACTGGCGGTTATGGGAAGAGCGGGACATTTCCCAAACACACTCGAAGCGCTTGACCAATCACAACACACTGATCCAGACGACCAATCAGAGCACAGTGTGCTTTTCAGAAGGAGGAGCTTCATAGAGACAGGAACTAAACAGAGCGTTACTAGCTATGTTTCCATCACCCTGTTTTATGAGCATATTGAAATATCGCATCAGAAACGAGTGATGGAAATGCCAAATAAAAAAAAAAATACAAAATCCCTTAATTCGCTAAAATTTTATGCTCGCTTGAGGTGGTTTTTGCCTTGTGCAAAACACAGTTAATGCAAATAATGGGAAATGGAAACGCATCTGCCGAATAAATTCTGACGGGAACTGAACCGGATCATTTGGCTCAGCTCAGTAATAAGAGTATAGGCTTGTGTGTGTTACTCATCTTGTTTTCTGACCCAATATTAAGGATGATCTTTTCGTCATACCACACGCACTCCATGGAAACTTTGAAAAGATTCGCTTCATGTTTGGATGGAAACTCGACTACTGACAGACTGGGAAGAGAGGAGCTGCAGCAATGGAGAATATGGGGAAAATTATGTTTTTTGAACATTCAAACATGAAAGCTCTGTAAAGAGCATTATAGATAACAAGAAAAAATATCTGCCAATGGTCTCAGAAAAAAATATTTTAGTTCAAAGGCAAAACAAGATTTGTTTTTTCTTTTTCTTGTTTTGAGCAAAAACTCTCTTCATTTTGATACAGGTAGACATAATCTAAAGTCATGTTGCATGTCAGGTAAATGTATCTTGATTGAAGAATATAGATATTTTAGATATTTGTACTGCAAAACAAGACAAAAACACTGAGGAATAAAACATTTTTTGCAGTGAACAATGTGTGATGATTGTTACCTATCACAGATGCGAAGAGTTCTGGCGCTGAGCTCCCCGCCGCCATGAACGTGGCACCAGCAACATCCTCGCTCAGATTCAGCTTCTGCACAACACAAGAACAGCAGACGCTTCACATCCAACAAAGCCTTTGGCACAAACCCCACCCAAAACTGGAGCAGTGTGTTTTATCAGCTCCTGAAAGCCTCCAAGTGGGTCAGAGGAAGAACAGTGCGGATTCTGCTCTCATTGTACCGCGGTATTACTCAGATGAAGGGGAAATTCATTGGGATCGGGATTTCTATGGGATTTGAACAATCCTACCTCACAGATTTTCTCAAGAGACATCACAAAGTAGTCGTCGCACACGATCGCCAGGGCCAGGAACATGTAGAGAGCCTGTAGGAAGACAACAGAAGATCTCAGGTCAGACTTCACCACCTCAAATAATCACAAAATTCTCCAAGATAACAATTAGATAAATTCTGCTGTGAAAAAGACAGTTTCAGAAGAGATTGCAAAGAGGTCTTATAAACTGATCTCGAAGGTCATTTCTCATCAAATTCTCCTGGACCGAATGATCAGAGCTATGCTGTCAATATTCATTTTATAGTTCTGTCATTTTCTGAGCCGTAACAGACTCTTTGCAAGTACTGTATGTGAATGAAAATGCTGTTAACTATGCAAGCTAGATTTTGTGCATACTGTAAGTGTCAAACTTTAGTGCAATTCATTACAGTACATCTACATTTAATAATTTAGCAGAAACTTTTATCCAAAGCAGGTTAAACAAGAGAAACATCACAAAGCAATGCTGTTTAAGCTATAAAATGTTTTTATTTTTGGCTTGATTTGTGGTTTATGTGCTTTAAGTCATGGCAGAGCAACAATCTGAAGTTAGTAAAATTTGTTTAAGCTGTCAATGTTTATCAGTACTGTTAACTATTCAAAATTGTGTTCATTAATTAAAACAAAGCTGAAAGAAAATGAAATGTAGTAATATTAGATGTAAAACGAGAATTAGAAATATTGAAATAAAATATGTTGAAGTAGCCTACTAAATTTACTACAAACTAAAGTAATAGTAAATTAAAGCTAAATGGAATTATTTTTAAAAAAAAACAAGAAAATGACAAAAGCACATCAAATTACTAAACTTTTATTGAAATAGAAAACTGAAAATATAAAAATAAAAGCTTAGTCAAAATATTAATAAATAGTAGGCTACTATTGTATGAATAATAGCCACTGATGTGTAGGCCTATAGCTGAAAAATAATATACTTAATGTCACAGACATAAAACCTCTATGTAAAACAGATGTAAACTCTATCGCCCCTTTCAGTCTGTCAGTATTAATGTGTATTACCACCACAAAAATAGAGTAGGGGGAGGCTGCAGACCTGGAGCCGGCAGATATATGCCCCTGGCAGTTTTACGCCCCGGCAGTTCTACGACCCTGTTGTTCCTGATACGTCCAGTAGAGGGATATACTGCGAAATAACATCATTAAATCGACGCTTAATAACCCGTCCATAGACTTGACAATTTTGTGTTTTTTGTTAATTTAAATATAAACGTTATAGTGTAGATCTGCACGGATTAAATTATCTGTTTAACAAAAAAACAAGGGGGGTAAACGGACATCAAAAGAGATTGAATTAGGGTACACAAATCAATGCAATATTACATTTTGTCAATATAAAAACATGTAAGGTTCTTTACAACAGACTCAATGATATTATTTTTTTTATAAACCTTTGAGTTTAAAGGTTCTGACATTTTCTTAAAGGAAGAAAAAAATGAACTTTATATCAGAGGAGAATATTCTAGAATCAGGATTACTTTGAATGGTTCTGTCTTTATGAAGATGAAACTTGCCCAGAAGACAAAGTAATAATACCGTATAATCAAGTTTAACATCGTTAGAATTAAAATCTGACAAAAATAGATTCTGTCGTTTGTATGTTAAATAATCTGCTAAAGTTATTGTTTTTTAGCAATGATGAAACATTTATTATTTATAAACGATTAGCTCGATAGAGCTAGGGTAGGTAGATATCAATTCATTTATATATCAATGGATGGGTCTATAATGTATTTTGACAGGTTTCTGTTCTATCTGGCTTAAACTTAGCTAACCACGTGTAGGTTTAGCTTCCCCTATCTTCTCTACTCAATTTAAAATTAATTTGAATTTGAATTTTCTTTTGTTGCCTGTCTTTAGCTTGGCCTCTTCTGGTAAGACTCTGTTTACTCCTTGCATTAAAACATACTCCACATGGTTTATAGAGCAATATTACAGTAGATAATGGAAATATGTGAATTTTTTTACAGTCTATGGTGTGAACACGCAAAAGACACATTTATAATAGGTATGTAAATCTCTCTCTCTCTCTCTCTCTCTCTCTCTCTCTCTCTATCTCTAAGTAAAGAGTTAAACTGCACACTCACTCAAATACGTTAAAACATTAAAAACTTTCCCCATATGGTTTGAATGTAGATTCTGGTTTGAGTTGTTTCTTATAAATGAGATGATCTAATTATCTCATTTATATCTTAATATACATTTTTTCTTAAAATAGCTTACTGATCTGGACTCAAATGTAGGGTATGTGCACTTAATGTGGGTTTTATCATACTCTGTCTTTACCAAGTTCTCTTTAACTTGGATCTCATAAAGGTGTGTTTGCTTTAGCTACTTAAGGAAATACACACACACACACACACAGGGACAAGGTCAAATTCACCATGGATGTCCTTTTTAACTTTTTTAATGTTTCATTTTTTAATGTTTCATCAGTGAGCAGGAGCAGTTAAAGAAAAAAAAACAGTTAAAGAAGAGTGGCAAACCATAGGGGAGTAATCATAATTCATAAATGGTGTTAATAAATATTTTTTTGTGAACAACAATATTGTCTATATCTTCTAAATGGCCCATGGAATTTTATAAAAGGGATAAATTGTGTTTGTCTTCATAAAATGCTGTGTAGGACACTGTTTTGTAGCTGTATGATGACCAATTGAATAGTACAGCAGATATTTCATCGAGGATCCATATTATTACACGGTACTGCATGTCTAATGGGCTATATAGTTAATATCTAAATGTGACTTTATATAAATTCACAAAAACATATTTCACTCAGTCTCCTGTATATAAAAACGGTCTCAGGTTACGAATGTAACCTCTGTTCCCTGAGAACAGGGAACTCAACAATACGTCATCGACGTTATGGGGAACGCCTCAGGCGTGACAGGTGTCTGAAATCACTATCAAATCACGTCAATCACATTGACCGGCGACAGCCCGTGAATCATTAACGTGAATGATTAACGTGCGACCTGGAAGTATATAAGGGCGCCTTGCAAACATGACAAATCACCTTATCGTCTGAAGGGACTGTACGGTAGGCAAGCCCCGAGGCATGGCAGGGAGACGTATTGTCTCGTTCCCTGTTCTCAAGGAACAGAGGTTACATTCGTAACCTGAGACGTTCCCTTTCGAAGGGAACTCAACAATACGTCATCGACGTTATGGGGAACGAAATACCCACTCCGCCATGCTGAGGGGAGTGCATGCCCAAAGGCAGTGACAACTGTCAGAACCAGCAATTTCAAATGAAACGCTAGAACCACTCACCGTCAGGTCACACTAGGCTGTCAGTGACAGCATTCCCTACGGTCATAGCCTAAGCTATAAGCCTCACAGGAAACCTCCATAAACATGGTTAAATGAAAAGGCCTACCTGGGCCTGCTCAAAGGCCTAGGACCACAACTTCAATTAGAAGGGGTCCCTTCTAGGGAATGTGGCTAGGGAACCCGAAGGAACCCCAGCCAGTCACTATTCAGGGGAACGTACTCACCCCGAAGTGCCACCAGGACGGCCTGACCTGGCGTCAGAGCATAGACACTTAGTCTGGCCACTTCCTGTCAGTCCGAAGACAGAGCCTCTGGACACTTGCCTTAAGTAAGGCATCCAACCCGAGGGACTGCGAGCTGGCAGTGAACCACTCGGCCCGGATCTCAGAGACGGGACATCCCGGAGAGTATGACTCAGCAAGTGCTTTCCAACCCTTACCAGCGAGGGGAGTTTCTCTACTCGATCCATGGATCTACCCAGTGCTTGTGATTCAAACACTGAGGAGGCCTGTGAAGGCCTAAGGGCTGATCTAACTGGGAGGCCTCACGAGAGGCCTACGGCCGTCTGACCAGACTCAGGAGTCCGCGTGCTCATAGTGACCCTCTGTGAGGGGAGCACATGGTCCGCCTGGTACACTTAAGTCGAGCCAGGGCGCAAGCTCGCCTTCAGCAGCTGCCTGATAAGGCCAGCTGAAAATGATAGCAAGAGGCCACTAGCCTCCTGAACCCAGCACCGCTAGGAAACCACTCACAGGGAGGCCTGGAGAGGCCTACAACCTGATAACCACAGTATGTGGGGACCCTCAGGGAGGCCTGGAGAGGCCTACAACCTGATAACCACAGTATGTGGGGATCCTTAGGGAGGCCTGGTGAGGCCTACTACCTGACCGTACTCACTCAGGGAGGCCTGGGGGAGCCTACTACCTGATAACCACAACCTGTGGAAACTCACCGTCAGAGAGGCCTGGTGAGGCCTACTACCTGACCGTTCTCATTCAAGGAGGCCTGGAGGAGCCTACTACCTGATAATCACAGCATGTGGGAACTCACCCTCAGGGAGGCCTGGTGAGGCCTACTACCTGACAGCCATAATATCTGGGAGCATTTTCTGCTACCCGATAGAAAGTCAGGCTATCTGTTCAGTTACCTGACCTTGGGCTTGTCTCCAGGGAGGCCTGGTGAGGCCTACTACCTGATAACCATCTCAAATGGGAATTCACCTTCAGGGAGGCCGGGTGAGGCCTACTACCTGATAGCCAATGTAGGTAAGGATTCGCCTTCAGGGAGGCCGGGTGAGGCCTACGACCTGATAACCATCTTAAATGGGAAATCACCTTCAGGGAGGCCTGAGTGGCCTACTACCTGATAGCAACTGTTAGCTGAGTTCGGGTGACAGTTCCAAGGCGGCCTGTTAAGGCCAACCAGCTGGGGACTCGCCTATCAGGGAGGCCCGGTTGGGCCTACCAGCTAATAGCAAGTCAATTCCTACAAAGGAACACTGTTGGGAACCATACTACACCAACGTAACTATTGGGCCCACCCACAGGAGGCCTAGTACGGCTAGCTACCTGCAGCAGCTATAAAGTATGTCCCACAACGTTGGGACTCACCTCCGAGGAGGCCTGTTTAAGGCCTACTACCCACCGGTGAGTCAACTGCCCGAACCACCAAGGCCAACTATTTCTCTCGAGAAGTGGCCTACAGCGCCCTATTGGGGGCTGCCCATACAAGGAGGCCTGCTGAGGCCTACTACCTGA